GTTGTGGCAGGGAATTCGTGGCATGTGTGGTGGCTTCACTGAGTAAGATTTTATATAGTAAAGTTCTTTAGAAAAACTTAGGTTTAAAGTAGTTTTTGGTTGAGGGTTTAAAAATAACGGGTTTTGTGTTACTTTCTAAGATTTATGGATCCACCATTTGAAGTGTACTCGGTACTCGAAGAGAGGATAGTTTATAGTGTAATTGTGCACATTTCCGACCCCGTAAAGTATATACATATATTCTTGATCAGCATAAATAGCCGAGTCTGTGTGTGTCTGTCTGCTGGTTTGTCTGTCCGTCCGTCCGTCTTGTCCGTCTCAGAGACTATAAGAGCTAGAGCCACCGAATTTCGCCTCCAGACTGCTCTATGCCTACACTGATACAAGTGCATTTCAAATATTAGACCCGCTATTCTTCTTCCGCTCACTTAAAAGGGCGAAAATCTGCTGTTTCCACAATTTTAAAGATAAGAGAAAACTACTAATGTCACACCGTAGGTACCATATCTATCTATCATGACTCGAAGAGTAAATAGGGTATATTGTATTTGTGTGGAATAACGGTTGTATGTAACGCACAGAAGGAAGCGTTTCCGACCCCATAAAGTATATACATATATTATTGATCAGCATCAATAGCCGAGTCGATAGAGCCATGTCTGTCTGTCCGTCTGTCCGTATTGTTTGTCGGCTAGTTCTCAGAGACTATAAGAGCTAGAGCCACCAAATTTTGGCTCCAGACTGCTGTACGCTCACACCCTTTTGCGGGGGCGGAAGGGGGCGTGGCTCATTTTTTAAATACACTTGTAACAGAATGCATACAGAAGTCTGGGTGCAAAATTTGGTGGCTCTAGCTTTTATGGTCTCTGAGATCCAGGCGCTCAACAAGACGGACGGACAGACGGACGGACAGACAGACATGGCTCAATCGACTCGGCTATTGATGCTGATCAAGAATATATATACTTTATGTGGTCGGAAACGTTTCCTTCTTTGTGTTACATACATTCACTTTGTGCGCAAATACAATATTATTTACGCTTCGAGTACCGGGTATAAACATTTCGTTATTTTAAAGGATTTCTCCAACATTTTTGGGGTTCAAAACTCAATTAGTTACTACTTGTTTTATGTGGTATTTTTAAAACCATTTATGTTTGCTTTCATATCATTTATGTCAACAAATTTCTAAGAACTGTTTTACATCATTATATTCTTCCAAACAATGTGCCACTCACTGATTTGTGCATGCAAAACTGCCATCCTTTGTCAGCAATTTATAGGAATAACATTTATATTAATTTCCTGCAAAGAATATCCATTCTAAGAACTTATTTCTTCTTCCAAAAATAGCTGCCACACAAAGTCCTTATGTTCCCTTATGAAAAATCAAACAAGCTTTTTTTCTGTATAGCATATACTACTTTGTGCAACACTTTAGCCGAAATTGCTTCAATTATCCAACAAAAAGAATACAGCAGCAGCTAAAACTTCCCACATGTAGAGCTGCTGCTCCTTCCTACTGCTACTGCCTTTCGCCCGGTTAATATTTATGTGCAGCCTACATTTAGGCGCTTGGCAGTGGCCCCTGTCGAAAATAACTCAACTGTCAAAAATTTATGCCAAACACATACACGACTGGGAAAGAAAAATGGTTCGTGATGCGTGAGAATAAACGGGCAATAGAGAGAGAGACAGAAGATAGTAGGTGCCATAAAGAGTGAGGTAGTAAAATGAGTGACACAGAGAGAGAGAGAGAGAGAGGAAATGCCATGAGTGAGTCGCATATTTTCATTAGAAGACATCCATCAAAATTCATGCATGGAATACTATGAACTTTCTCACACACATACTATGAGTTGTCACCCACACACACACATGTATACCATGAACTTTCTCCCACACACACACACATGACACGGCAACCGAAATAACGCAATGAATTTGCACCCACACCCTCACTTTGTCATTTGCCGGCTATCAAAAAAGGTGAATATAAAGAAAGTTTTTGCCCCAAAATATTTATAGGCTATCTTTATAGATAAAACCTCTACATATAGCCTTATAGAGTGCAGTCTTTACCCCCCGAAAATCTCTAAATAGAAACACTTTGCCACAAAAAAAGTAAAAACAAAATAGAAAAAAGTAGGCAAAGAGTTTTTGGTCACGTAAGGAGCTCATAAAGAATGAGGCGATGGCATAATTTGCACTCTACTGTTCTTGGCTTTTTCACTATTGTTTTTTTACGCTACCTTCCTTCCCACTCCATGCGATTTGGGGCGCCCGAATGTAGGCTATATTCCACATTTTGGTAATAAGTTTGTAGCGCTGCCAAGTGGCCTAAAAGCCTGCCATGAATCGTTGGCAAAAATATAGAACTTTAAGCAAGGAGCGAAAGAAACTTTTCTGTTCTGTTCTGTCTGCGGTGTGCGGCTTTAACCCCTTCTTCAGGAGGAAACTTTTTAGCATTTCCATCATATGTGAGAAAGTGAATTGTACTCAATATTTCTAGTGACTTTCATTTCGCTTTTGCTGGCACCTCCGTATCTTGCTGTCTTGCCCCTCTTTAGGCTGTATCTCTGGCCTCCCCTGTATATCTGGCTTCTCCTCTGACCTCCCCTGTAACTCTTTCTTTAATCCCTTTCCCTCTATGTATATTATAAAACCTTTTTTCATATGTAATAAAATTCATATGACTTTGGCGCATGTTTAGCGTTAAACTCCAGTTCCGTGCGGCCTCTCTTCCCCCTGTATGGTTTGGACGAAGCAGGCCCATCATTAGGCCCTGGCACGCACATTTCTGTTACGAGTACCGACGACCGGCCGTACAGGCAGTCGTCACTGGGTGCCACATGCAAAACGCCATGTGTGACATTTTTAGTACCAAACATTTGTTTTGCGCACCGGAGACGCCACCACCAGAAAGAGAGGTAGCCTCAGAGAAAGGTAGAGGGGGCTTCTCTCCAAGAGAGAGAGAGAGAGAGAGAGAGTGGTGTGCCTCCAGGCTAGCGGTTGGGTGGGGGCTGCCTGTAGTCAACACGTACCAGGACACGGGCATGGACCGTTGCCTGTCGCTCCGTCGTTTGGTCGTTTTTCTGTTGACTTTGCATAATTTTATTGCTTTTCTTTTATTTTTGTGCGAGTGTTTTTGCTCTCCACTTGGCTCACCTCCCCCTTGGGGCGACATTGACATTATAATCAATATTTCCCTTGCTCCAGTCATACATTTTCCTTCTCGTGTGTGTTGCAGGTTTTTTGGGGGGAAATAAAGTCTTTGCTGGGGCATAGAAAACAGTCTTTTTCTTACATTTTCCCCTGCTGTTTGTGCATTTCATTAGGAAGCAAGTCTGCCCTCTTTAAGGAGCTTTTTACGACAGTAACAAACGAAAAAGGTCGCTAATTTCTAAGATAAGTTGTTAAGGGAACGGTAAGGAAGGGTTTAGATGTTTGCTTGCTTTTCTTTGCCTTACAATTGTATTAAAAATCAATACAAAAAGTAAACCTCTCTTCCACGTTTTCTAAACTTATAAATCTATAGATTTTTCATAATTTGTTGAACTGATTTTTCGGCTCTCCTCCCCGCAACTCCTGCGGTTATTTGTTTAACTTTTCAATTTTTATCTCATATTTTCCATCAAATATTATGCCTAAAAGTTATATATTTTATGGCTTGTTTTGTTTTCGGAAAAAAGGGAAACTTTCAGCCAAAGTTGTTTGTTTTTGTGTGACAATATTCTGTACTTTGGCTATGGGGCTTGGCCTCTCTGTGTTTGCTTTGTGGCACATTCTGAAAATGATTTTAGTGCCTCGTAAAAATGTTTATAGAGAGACAGAGATAGAGAGAGAGAGAGAGAGTGGAGGGCAGAGAGAGTTTATTACTAAGTATGTATCATGCATTATACATTCATGATCTGCCCGTATATCTGGTCAGTCCTTGACTTTGCGAATAATTACGCCTGGAAAATTCTTCTTCCTTTCCTTATTTTTTCGGCATCCGATGATAAATCGCGAAGCGTGCCGCCTGCCCCTGCTCCTTCTCTTTTTAGCTGTGTGTGTGGAGAGACAAATAAATGTCAGCAAAATACATCTACATAATGTCGCCCCCATAAGTTGTATCATTAATTCTCCCTCTTGATGTTTGGCTGTAAAATCATTTTTGCATGTGCTGTTTGTTGTTTCTGGTTTCTCTGTGCTTTAATTTATGTCATTTGTGTGTTTTCACTGTTTCTCTTTTGAGTCCTTTTCTCTCTCTCTCTCTCTCTGACTTTTTGTGACATAAAGGCATTTAAACACGCCATAAAATAATTCATAATAATAATCATTTTCATGTACAAGGCAGGAAACAAGACACAGGCATATCCACCTCCTCCTGCCCCCTCCTGTGCCCCTTCTTAAACATACAACATCCATATATCATCCTCATATAACGAGTCACAGTTTTAATGGATCATTGTACGGAAGGATTTTTTGTTGCTATTGGTGCTATTTTTTTTTGTGTTTTCTGGTACTTTAAGACAGATTTATAGAACTGGAGGTGTTGTGTTGTTGTTTAAAATTGTAAAGGGGAAATAATTAAATATTTACAGAACTATTTAATTAACTAAATGTAAATACTCCCTTTTAACTTCAGTGTAAAAGGGAAGTGAAAAATATTAGTGCCACTTGGAAATACAATTTGACGGATAACTGAAGTCAAAATAGTAAAATTAATTGTTCTGATTAAATAATTATTATTCGAAAAATTAATTTCTGGCAGTAAACAAATATTTAACTGTGAAACTAAGTAAAAAGTAGAAAGTTTTTGTTTTGTTTTGAAAATAGATTGAATATTTTCTGTGGCTCTGTCAGTTATACAATAACACTTTACACCATTTATTCATAATATGAAAAGCCGCGAAGTCGTTATGATTGTATATTGATTTATATCTGATAATGATAATCATATATATTCCCCCCTGCCACCACTATAATAATATTTTCAATCTTTTATCATCTCTTACCTGGCGTGCTGTGGCCCCACATTTCCCATATCATGGGCCGAGCTGGCGCTTATTTGAAAATCGGCAATGGCGCCAGATTCCATGCCCAACGGTTGCTTGCAGGTGCCTAAAAGCAGGGAAACAAACAAAGAAAGTATCAGATATAAGTATAAGATGATGTAATGATGAAAAATCGACCATAATTATAATGATGTATGGGAGCCCAAATAAAAAAGCTCAAAATTATAGATAAAATCATAGAAAAATCATGGATAGAAAAACAAAATGCTTGGCTCCATTCACCTGTCGAAATTGAATGCATAAATTAATTAAACCGAAAGACAAAAGGGCAGGCCACCAATTGGAAAGAAGATATACTCAGATTCACGGATACAAAGATACATTATCTGTGTGTTGGGCTTTCAGCAACTCAATTTCCATTTACCATCAATCTGTTTGAGTGGAGAGAATGCATGAAAAGCGCAATTATCATTTCCATTCCACTTGAAGAATGGCTGGGGCTCCCATCTACACAGCCAGCCCTAAAGAGACCGCGAAAGGGTCATGAATAGGTCGTTGAGACATTGCCATCATCATCATCATCATCGTCATTGTTTCTGCTGCCTGGCTGCTGCTTGCCTGCTGCTTCCACAACATTTTCTTCTGCTTCAAGAATATTATCATTCAGTGAATAATTAGATGCAATCAGTCAGTGCTTAAGCACCATAAGTCAAAGGCATAGCCCATAGTGGAGGGGAAAAACTAGACAAAGGTCAGGGCCCCTCCCATAGACAAGCAGGCAGCGTGAGACACAGAGGGAGACAGCAAAAGAGAGAGAGAGAGCGAAAGAGATACTTGACAGTCCAATCGCGCCATCTGGAGATATGGATACTTGCCCCACAGACCCTACTCCAGCCACAGACTCAGACCCTTCTTCATCTTTATCTTCATCCTGTTGCAGTTTCATTTTACAAAAAACCATCGAAGATCTCTCAAGCTTTCGTCTCTGTGCGATTTTGGCAGAGTGGCTTTTGAAAAGCGAGGGATGCTCAAGGAGTTTGGGGAGAAAAATGAACTAAGTTTGTTGTAGAAGGAATATAAGTTGAGGGTCAGATTAATTCTAAGCTAAGATTGTGACAATATTGTAGACAGAAGACAGATTTTGAAGAAGTCATGATATTGAGATCTTCCTCAAGAGAATAGGAAGGATCTACAGAAATATTTATCTAAAGAACACTTAAGGAACTATTGGAATACTCAAATATTTGTGTAGTGATCAATGATCAGTGATCAGTTGATCAGTGATTTAAGGTAAATCCAATCCAGTACCAACGCTGGAATATGACACTTTACTTGTCTTATTTTGTGGAGTGTAGTCCATTGTGGAAAGAATGTTCTATCTGATTTGATACGATCCTAAGAGTAGTATAGGAAGGATCAAGAGGATATTTCTAGTTAACATAAATAAAATACTAACCACCAGACATGGATCTCCAAATCATATTGTCAATACTACCCATGAAAATGTTTAATTTTTCCTGATACATGAACAATTATAGCGATACACTTGGGAAGTGTTATAATGGATATGATTTCATGATAATATAGTGCTTAGAAAGATCTCTAAGGTTTTCCCTCTTTCATCGTTCTCTATTTTTATGTTCACCGGACTCCGCCCACTGCCCTTTTGACCCACACTTTTACGCACTGTTTGCTGTTTTGGCCATTTCTTTGCGTCAGTCTGCCTGTCTTTCTGCAGTTGTGAAAACTCATTTAGCCAGCAAAACGGATTGGGGGAAAAAGCGCAATTGCTTAATTATCGACAGACACAAAGACAGCTGAAGGAACTTTGGCAGTAAATTGTTGCAATCACTCAAACGCCCCCTCGTCTGCCACCATCGTTATATCTATGACATACTGAAGCTCATAAATTAAGTTTAATTATTGGAAAATAAAAAACAAAGCTCGAAAATGGGCCAAGAAAACTGCTACAAAATGGGGGAAAATAGGGGTGGCGAAAAATACTTCTCTATTTAAAGGCAAATTGATGGATATGCCAGCGCTTTTCAATTACGAGGATCGGAGCTGCCCCCAGCACCCGATTGAGAAATGAAAAAATCAAAGGAAAGCTAAACAAATATGCCAGAAAGAGCACGAGAGAGAGAAAACATCTCTTCTGCAGGGAAAACAAATAGTTTCCTATGGGCAACGGGGAGGGTAAACTTTCGACGGTGGATAAAATGCAAAACTACAAAGTGAAAAGTAAACAACGCAAGCGGACGGCGGACGACTGGCGGACGACTGGCGGCGGCGTGGGATGTGCGGTGCGGCGGGCAGGGAAAGACTCCCACCAATTGTTGCTGCTGTTGGCGCAAAGTTTTTGCACAAAATAAATTGCGCAAAATTTAATTAACTGCCTCTTGAGTGCATGGGTTGTAAATTGGGCGGGCTGAGGAGGATCCTGCAGGGGGGAGGGAGTTCTGCTCTGCTGTTCTGTCCGCTGCAGCCAGCCGCGTGCGAGTGTGTGTGCGATAATCATAATTCACCGCTCCCTCACTCTCGAGAGGGTGGCTGCGTGTAAAACACAAACAAAATGTTGGCAGAAAACACCGCAAAACTTTATGAAAATTGAAAATTGCACAATTTTACAGTTCAATGCTGCTGCAGCGGTTAGGGGGCACCCATAAGCCGGGGAAAATTGCTAACAAACATTACACGGTATACACTTTCATATGCAGAAGATAACTTGATGAAGCGGTTGGAAAATACAAACAGAGGAGGGTGTGTGTGGGATTTCCCCCTGGAGGGATTAGTCAAGTTAATTAAGCGCCAAACCACAGGGAGAACACAGGCAGCGGAGCGAAACCAGAAACGTCGCTTGTGCCTAAGAAATAGAGCCTTGAAAGTGTGTGTGACAGATAGGGAAAACAGTAAGAATACGTCTTGCTTCTGGTAACTTTAGCATCAATGCCCGAAGGGGTTTGCCCTACAAATAAATGCAAAAGGAAGTCAAGAGGTCATTCCCATATATTTTCTAAGAGTATCTGCCATTTCACCAATATGCACTGCAGTTTTTGAGTTATAAAGAGGAGCCCACAAAGGAAACAGCCAGCAGCAGCGGCGCGCTGTAGCGGGAAAAAAGTTGCTTTTCGAGCGACCGAAACAGCGAGCGAGCGAAACAAAAACGCGCCAGAAACGCGCTTAATGACGCGTATCTGCTGGCGCTCATAAACAACAAAAGCAACAAGGCGTGCTTTATGGGCAGGCTGCCCCCTTCCTGCTCCTGCTCCTGCTCTTAGCCAAGAACGAACAAACTTTTGGCCATGGTTCGTTGATGCTGAAAGTAAACGGTGGTCCGGCAAAGGGATCCCCCCCCTATACGATCTCCGTTACCCGATTGTGTTAACAAATTACGCACGCATTTTAATTGCCCATTCGAAATGGGGTGTGTGCATGGTGTGTGCGGGGGCGGGGGTGTTGTGTGTATCTCACGGATGCAATTAAAAAAGTAGCTGTCGGACCACACAACCACCGGCACCACAGCGAATGAACTGTGTGGAAAAGGAGCTCTCTACTTCCCCTGACGTGACAAACATCTAACATGCAACATTAAACATTCAAATACCCGATAGATACAGATGTTCGATGGTGTAAATGGGAAATTTCGGTTAGAGAGGAGTGCGTGAGGGGCCGGGAGATGTAAATAACTATTGGCAATTATAAAAAATTAGGTAATGACAGAATTATCGTTGCGATAGAGTTGCATCACAGGCAACATCCTCGGGCCATGGGGTTTGAAAAAGTACAGCCATGACCCGAGGAAGTTTGCTGGGAGAGAACTGTAGCTTGGAAATCACTCACTCCATATATTTACGAATATTTTATTAACTTTTCTATTTCGATTTTCCATCACAGGCAACATCCCCATGCCGTCACCCATCAGACCCATGGAAGTTTTCTGTGAGAGAGCCCCAAATAAAAATGATTAAAAACCAACACAAATTTACCAAAATAAAACAATAATTTAAGCATAATTAAAGCCTCTCAAACACTTGTCACGCTGCCATCCCTAGACCCATGTGCAGCGGCCACTGATAGATATGGTAATAAATTACACATAATTTACAACCACGGGAGTATCTTAAATGCATGTCACCGCGAACCACCAGCCAACCACCAGCCCCACATTGCGAGCAAGCGCATTCACTTTGCGCCGCTCTATCGCCCCAAACATAAATCCACTCCGAATGAGGGAAACCAATGCATGTTCGATGTCTCCTCTGGGCTCTAATCGTCGCCAAGTTATCAGAAGAGTTCGTGGACGAGACAGAGACTTTTTAATTTATCGCCAAAGAGTGGCTTTAGCTTTTGGCTTTGTTGGTGGGTGCTAAGCTATTAATTGTTATTTAACTTTTGTTTTCCAAGCGGCGACACGGCCTGTCACATGACTGCATCGTGGCGAATCTTATCGCATGCCAGCGATCATCGACAGTGTTGCAGCTGCACCCTGAAGGCAAAAGCAAAGCCTGCAGCCCCATAGCCCCACAGCGTGGAGAGCCTGCAGCCTGGGCCAGCTAAATTTATAGATCACTCGATCTATCGGCAATGGCAAAAAAATGTAAGAAAATGTACATATATCGCTGAAAAAATGCAGTAATGTTTTTATGGCCAAAGCGCTAAAATGCCAAATGTTGTCGCTGGTCGAGAGAGGAAGAGATAGGCTCACTTTAAGGCCATGATTGTATGCACTTTATGAGCGGGTTTGAGAAATGTATGGGGTTTGAAACACTTAAAATATGATGAAAGTTTTCCTTCTTCATATATTATTTATTTAAATAGCGCAGCGAGAATATATTTCTGTTTTCTTTCTAGATTATTTGCCTATTTTCCTTTTCCTACACCTACAAAAAGTGCATTCCCACATTCGTTCAGAGGCCTGATCTGCTCTTCATTTCATCAATTTTCCAACAGCCTCCAAACACAACAAAATAAATGCCCCACAAGCTGTTGCTGCCGCATGAGAGCGGACGGACGGACGCCTTACGTGCCGCTACTAACTACAACTTCACCTACATAAACCGTTGCGATCCACTTCGCTGGCTGCTGGCGGTGGCATGAGGCAGCTGGGAGTTTAGTGTCGCATTTATTTTTGATTGCCATCGAGTGGTGGTGCCACCGGCACATGGAGATTTCCATGCAGCAGCAGCAGCTCCAAATTACATGCCTTGCTGCTGCGGTTTTGGTGTTTGGTTTATCGTGTGTTGCTGGCCACTGTTTTCGGGCCAAGACAACATCTAATACCAATCCATATCAGGTTTTACCTCAGCACAGCGCTGTGTGTGTGGGACTGTGAGACATTTGCTGAGGTGCTAGAAAGTAAAAGTGAGCCACGCATTGTGGGACATTGTGTAAATCGATGCATAAGCCACCAAGCAATTAGTTTGGAAAATTGGTTTTGGAGAGAGTCGCCGGAGAGTCGCTGTTCGGGTGGGTTGATAATTTCCATAAATGTTACAGAGGTAAATACAGAGATTAGCGGAATATACGCTGATGGCAATCAATTGGATAATGGAAAACTTAGTTGGGAAATGGCTATATAAATATTAGCTCGTAATATAATTGACGGGGATAATCAGATTCCTTACTATTAAATAATTTTCTTACATTTTAGTGCAAATCTTAGATTCGCAAACGATTTCCAATTCAAATATTCTTCCAATATCACTTCCATTCTCTCCCGACATGGCCATCGGTGGTCAATGTGCATGTCTTCGTGGGAGAGCAGAGCATGGAATTAGCAAACTGTTAAGCTATCATTAACCCATTCTCTCAATCACCAGTTTAACAGAAGAGTTGAGGAAAGCATTAGGGCCGTTGATTTGGCAGTACAGTAAATGATCTGTTCACTGTGCTTGCCGAAACTGCGTATTCTCTGTCATTCTCACTCTCTTTCTCTCTGTGGGCATTGCCCGCAGATTTGGTGGAACTTCTATGCTCGTGTGTGTGAGTATGTTATTTCTTTGAATTTCTGACAATTGTCACCCTTTCGAGGTCCACCGCTCCTTCATGGATTCTATTTCTGTGGATCGTTTCTCTGCCTGTGGTTGCCATATCAACTGATCTTTCCCTTTGGATTCTGATGCCTCTGTAGAAGCTATTGCTATTCTATGGCATTTGCTGTTGTTGCTGCACCTCTCACCTGATTGTCTAATACAAAACACTTTTCTATTCGGTCTATAAACCATTCCAAACCGAATTCCCTTCGCCCGGCTCTCCCACCTTCTCTTTCAGGCATTCAATTTTTTATCCACTGTATTGCATCCACACCTACTTAACCCGAACCCGTGCCATCCATCCTCTCCATAGGCATCCCCCACGACTGCATTCACACACGCATGTTTCCCAATCAGATCGGAGCAGCGCACAGCCAGAGCAGCCCCAGACACCACTTGACCTCCAATTGTTGACTGTCGCACATTTATCAAGCGAACCCACAGACCCAGAGAGACGGAAAGAGGGTGTCTGTTGGACTTACCTGATCTCTGGGCTCTGGGCCACTTTTCAACGCATATTTCAGACAATTTATATGACCATTTAAACGGACCGAGCTTTAACATTATCAATTTAAATACAGGCATGGCTTTTAGAGCTGTTGGAGCTGGTTGGACCGTGGTGTAGCATCGGAGAGTGGCATGGAGTAATTTTTTATTTGGTCGCCGCAAACCAATTCGCGCAACATTTCAACGCGCCTACGGTCAAATGATATATGGCAGACGCATGCAGATATTTACGCATTTAAATAAATACAGATACTTACATTCGTACATTCGCACTCACATTCGCATATTGGAATAAACAGCTGAACCCATAAGACAGAAGGCAGACCAGACCAGCATCAACATGGTTTTCATTCAGCTTCCATTCATTTCCTGCTACCGTCGTGGCCTGGTTTTACCCTCACTCTCTCGAACACATAAAAGACGAGGTGATTAGCTTTGTTATAGAGTTCGCTGCAAAGGGAGTTCGTTCTCTGTTTGCTCCAGTTCTTGTATGTTTCATTTGTAAAGGCAGTCTGCTTTCGGTGGAAATAATTTAACCAATCTTCTTATGTGAAACGTATGCCGCATCCACAAAAAATAAAATAATAATAATCACAGCTGCAGAGTTTGAGCGAATGAGTTGAGAAAGAACGTCAAAACATAGAAAGAGAGGTTCCAAATATCCACCCCCGCGAAATTAACACGCAGTGCAAAATAATGAGATGCCAGAGAGAAAGAGAACGAAGACGAGCGTGGAAGACGAAGCGAAGTTCCGGCAAGCATTCTCAACAGATCATTTACAATACTGCTAAATGATCTGTCCCAAAACCTTTCTCCACTGTTCTGTTTAACTATTGATTGTGAGCATCGGTGAATGATAGTTTGGCTTTTGCAAATTCCATGCTCCGCTCTCACACGCAGACATTTTAATTGGCCGACTGCAATGTCGGGAGAACCATTGAGTGACAACTTATGTAGGTAAATGATCGTGTTTTCGTCTGACGCCTGCTGGGCATCGGAAGGTCACTCGAGTGTTATTCACAATTAACTACATTAGAATATGCAATACAAATTGCAGCAAAAATGGGGAACGATATTCCTCGATTGGTGCTCGTGCTTAATAAAAGAAACGTGCCGGTTTTCTATGCATTGTGTACATTGTCACTTTGTCGCACACATTTTCAGCTGTGCTTATTGTTTGTGTCTGCACACATTTCTCTTGGTAGTGGCATTTTCTCTTTTTTTTTTCGTAGCCATGCAAAATATCGAATTTTAAGCGTGTTTCCCTATTCGATGCATGTAAATATATTTTTTGCCATTTCTTTGGTGGCTCGAAAACAAGTTGGTGGCTAACGAGCCAGCGTCTCCAAGATACAACAACAGCAAAAACACTCTCTGGCCAACAAGATAATTTGTTATGCTCGGCAGACGAATATAAAATAACAACAAAACCAGTGGAATCCATTGGAGGAGCCACCAGCTGTGATGGACGGGACCACACATGGACACGTGAGGCGGCTGTTGGGAGCCCCAGCCAGTCCGGCCAATCAGCAATGGTAATGAGGAGAGCACCAAAGCAGGGAACAGTTGAGGGGCAGCCAGGCAGCAGCGGAAGAGGCAGGGCAGCCAAGACGCAGTCATCTATCAAAAGAGCCGCTGAGCTGCTGCTGCCTTCGATTTTGTATATCCATGTACACACAGTCAAACAAACATATTTATCTATCTGTATCTGAGAGTCAGAGCCACCCATTTGTGTATTACCTTATGCCCAGTCTGAGCCATTCTGAGCCATTCCGGCCATCATTTTTCCACCGCCCCACCACCAAGGTTTATGCCTAACCTCATGTTTATTAATGACGTCGGATGGAGGAGTAGGAGGTGGAGTGGGATCTGGGCTTAGAATTCGATGAGGGATCCTTGGCGCTTTGCGTAAATTTTCCCGTAATTGGTTGCGGTTGAGTGCGTGCCGGGGCCGTAACCTGGCCGGTAACCCCAGCAGCTCCCCCCCTCCACCAGTTATTAGTTACGGTTTTGTGTTATTGGTAAATACTTGAACAGGAGACGCTGGCCAAGACGCAGGAGCGGCAGAACTAGATCCACAACCAGAATGAGGGCCCAGGAACCATGACTAGGGGTTAGACCCTCATTCCCTTTTGCGGTTGATTGATTTCCATGTTGATTGCTGAATGCAAATGCAAATTCCCTGCGTGTGTGCCGCCTCGACTATTTAGTGCATTTCAGAATTAAGTGCATCGGGGATGTTGCTGCAGTGGCTGCCTGCCCTAAACTGTTGCATCGTTGCATGTGTGCAATGATGCATGGACTTTGGGAAGTTTACTCCTGAGCGGGTCCCGATCCCATCGCTCTGGCTCAGGCTCTGGCTCCTGCCTTCTACCTCATGCGATCCATTCGTCCGTGAACCATACACAGAATTTTGGTTCCACATTCTCTGCTTCTGCTCTCCCTCTCTCTCTCTCTCTCTTCCGATTGGCGGCGATTGGCTTTGCTACACAATTCGGAATTGTGCAGAAATGTTGTATACAAAATACTCTCGTACTTTCCATAATATTTCTTTGTATCGCTTATTTGTACCTTTTTTATTCTCTTTCTTGTTTTCTTGTTGTGTACCTCGAAAAATGCATAAATTGTATTTCATGGGAAATGAACATATGGAATTTTTCCACATCGCTTCGGGTAGGGGGCGGAATCGAAAAATGTTTTGTAAACATTTTTCATTTGACAAAAAAACTTTTTAGGTTATATTTGAAAATGTGCAAAACTGTGAATATGAATATTTAATGCACAAAACGGAATTTGTATTCGATTTCATGATGCGCTTTGAATAAACATGAATAATTACACATGTTTTTCTTTTTTCTTTTTCGTTTAAACAATTGGATACAAATAAACCAATGGTTTCAAGGGCAGGGTCTTAGTCTTTAAATGTTTTAATCTGTGCAGAATAAATGCAGAACATTTTAATGGGATTCTAATGGGAAATTGGCATAGCTGGACATGTTACTCTGAGATGTTTGCAATGAAAAGGGTTTTTATTTTTAAATCCCATAAAGGTACTAAAATTACCATTTCTAGTAGAAGTTTCTTCTGTTTCTTAGAGGAAAAAGTCTTTGTAGATGATTTAACCAAACAAAACAAAAGGCAGCAAGAAGAATTTCAACATAAACTTCAATAACTTTATTTTCCCACACAACTGCTCAAAAAAATCGTTTATTTAATCAAAATGTTGATCAAATATGCACATGCGTAAGAAAAATACACAACCCACAACACCTTTCTCCATTCGATTACTTACCAATTTCCAATGCTGCCACGCCTCCAGATGGGGCACCGCCAACAGCTGGTGCCACTGCAGCTGCTGCTCCTTCCGTGGCAGTGGCAATTGCCACTGTTTGTGCGCTCAATAAAATCAAAGTCAGTGTCAGCCAACATAAAGTTTTATTGTTATTAACACCATGACGCTTAATGTGGCAATAACTTTTTAAATAATTTGTTGCAAAATGCCGCGACTCGCACCCGTGCCAGGAGCAGCTGAAGCCGTTGTATCGGTGTCCAGGTCCAGGTCCAGGTCCATGTCGAGGTCCTTTTTTCGTTCCTTCTTGTGAATGAATTGAATTCAATTGTTGTAATTTTATTGCTGGCATTTTGATTTTCGTTTGAGTTTATTTCTCCCTGTTTTTCTATCGTTCCTTTTCGGTTCCTCGTTCCTTCTTGCCTTTTGAGTAATGCCTCACGTATTGCTGCTACATTTTAACCTCTGCAAAATGAAATAAAAGAGAAAAAGAACAGGGAAATTAAGAAAAAATTGTCAAGGGATTTTTGCAACACAGAATTATTCGCTTGTAGCCCCTTAATTGGCGGCATGGCTTTAAGAATGTAGCGAGACCGAGCCTCAGAGGAGTAGGAATTGGTCTCGTCTCGTCTCTCGCTCTCCCTCCCTAAATACATCATTGTCAGCAAATTAATGTGACGTGACCTTGCAAACTGTCGCGTTTTTGTCACATGACAGCAAAGTCATGGCAGGCGGAGGGCACTCTGCTGCCTGTCACAGTCCTATGGAGTTGGGGGTAGGATAGGGAGCCGCTCTATAGTCCCCGTCACGATTTTCCAGAGCTGAGCAAGCAGAAATTTATGTAAAATGTCAGAGACATACGACACACAGCGCTGCTAAATTTCCCACTCCCACTCCCCTTCCCATTCCCATTCCCATGGCTGGCACCTCCCTCGGCGACATGCCAAAACGTGTCAAAATACGAAAATATAAACAGCGCGAAAAACGCTGAACGCAAGTGCTGCAGAGAGCAGGAGACTTCGGGGAAGACTTAGGGGTGGTCTAGGGGGTGTTTCAAGCGTGAGCTGCGACGAGAGTGTCGTAGGGGGAGTGTCGGGTTGATGGTTGCCCTTTTTTGGCAGCCGGAAGTGCGACAACGACCAGGCCCGAGGGCGGACCTCTGCTCTGACATTTAAACAATATTCAAAACTTAAAGGCAAAATCCACAAGCAAACACAAAAACACAACAACAGTTTAAACTAACAGTTTTTCAAAGCTAGATTTATGACTCCTGAAGAGTGTAGAAGAGTGTACAAGTGCCCTGCAGGAGAGTGCACAGCTGGCTTTACATGGGTGGTGGTAAATGGGTGAAAGTTTGACTTGTAGAAAATGAGAATTTGCCTGATTGATGAATGGATTTGAATACTCACAAGTTGAGTTTGCGGAATTTTACAGTACAAAAGAAGGGGTGCAGAGTGGGAATTTAAGGAATGCCAGAGAGGAATTTTGGTGTGGGAAAAGAAGAAACTTAAATAATGATTGCTTAACATTTTTGTTCATCTTGTCTGGACGTTGATAAGCACTGAATGCACCATCAAGAGGCCCATGCGACACCAAGCCAAAGCCTGTTACGCGCGGAACCAAACAAAACGCAGCCCTCCTCCCGACCGAGGGGCGCTGCCGCATGACGCGCGGCGCGATTAACCGATTAAGATATGTAGATGTTAGACACAACTAAACTAGAGCAACTATTTTATTTACCATGGTGCAAATGTGTTCAGAAAACTTTAACTTGGAGTCTAGTTTAACACCTAGATCATCAACCTGATTGATCGAGGCATTAAGGTGTAACACATTTGCACAGCACCATGACTGAAAGCTATTGAGATCAGATTGCAAGCGAGAGTGGGATGTAATGTCCTTATACTGGACACAGAGCTTAACATTGTCCGCATACATAAGAACTCGAGAATTTGTTAATACAGAAGGCAGGTCATTAATAAAGAGTGTTAAAAGTTAAGGGGCCTACAATTTCAGAATGAATCTGTGATCTATGGTTGGAAAATTGTTATAAGTTGAGTGTTTAATGATCGTTTTAAGTACAGTTTTTGTTGATGGAAATCAATTTATGGAACTTCATGATTCATTTATGTATTTATTTATGTCTCTTTTTTCACTTTTACAACCCGAAATGTCTAGAAATCTAAACAGGGAATATAGAATCACAGAAGGAGAAAGCTCTTAAAATGAGTTCGACTCCCACATACCTATAAAACCCCCTTCTTACACCATCTGCCATCTCCCAGAAGTTCTTTCACTTCCCCCAATCCACTGGATAGTTTTTCATCTGCTTAAAAGTGTCTCTCCTGTGAGAAAGAGGAAAAGATCAAAAGACTTCCCCCAACAACAAATACAGGGCAACATTTTCACAGGCATTTTGCCGATGCAAAAATTTACTCGAGCAATTAATAAAAATGTGAACAAAAAACAACAGAAAAGAAAAAGAGGAAAAACCAAACGACAAACGAAGTGGAGAGGATGGAGAGGTGCAGTCGTAGTGGCACTGGTGGGGACAGTGTCAGGCTCTCTTCTGTTCTGTGTTCTGTGTTCTGTGCTGTGGCGCCCACACTTCCTTTCATATGCGAAATGGCGAAATTTTACGCCAACTTCACAGTGGAAGTGGCAGCAAAGTTGCAAATGTGCCGCATTTTACCCCTAGAGTTTCCCTCTGTAGTTGTTGTTGTCACTATTATAAATGTTGCTGTTGTTGTCGTCGGCAAAAGTCGCCAAAAATAAAAGGCATTCAAATTTGTGTAGCAACAACAATCCGCACACTGGAAAACACTTGAATGCACTGAAGAGAGAGAGAGAGAGAGGAGTCAGAATGGCAGTGGATGCACTGCGGTTAAAAAAAAAAAGCTTTTAAATGGATTTGAAGATTTTTGTAGTTGAAAAGACAGAAGGAAGCTCCCTAAATGTATTTTTCCACTTTTAATATAATTTTTGAACACATTTTCCCAATAAATGTAGATTTTTAGTTGATTTTGATTATTATTTATTATTTTCTTAATACCATCAGAATATTTTGAGCTCTTCAAAATGTTCTCCCAATATCAAAGGCCCTTCCTATTTTTTCCCAGTGCAGAAATAGAAGTACTCTCGTAGTAGTCGCGCATAGTTTTTATGGGCCTTATGGTTGGGCCTCCTTTTTATACCACAGCAGTGCAACGGAGTTGCAATAAGGCAAGAGCAGCTGGTGGGGAGTCTGGCTGTCCGGAGTTGCAGTTGCATTTGCAGATGGAAATGGAAATGAAGCCACAGTCGGTGTCTATGTCTGTGTCTGTCTGTTTCTGTTTCTGTTCCTGTGTCTATGGCCTATGGGGTCTGGTGAGAACATTTTACTTTTTATCCGGTAGCCGTTGCCGTTGCCGTTGCCGGTGCCGGTGACGCCTCCACCGCCAGACAGAATGCAAATTTTGTATGTGACGAAAGCAATGGAAAAACAGTTGCGTGAAAAGCGCACCCATTCTCCGTCAGGGACCTGAACTTGTAAGTGAAATGTGCGAGGGGATTGTGACGGGGCAAAGTTGGAAAGAGGGCGGCCTCAATGGCCTAATCGATTCGATTCATATGCAAAAGCGTTTGATGGCTCGATTCATGGCTGATAAAAATTACAATCTTGCAAATTTATTGATTCACTCGATTCATTCCACCATAAAAGAGTTTTTCAAGTGGATGCTGAAGCGAATAAAAGTCCATTTGTGTGTGATTATATTGTAATTTGCCAAGGATTTATAAACCCATTCATAAGCCATTCACAAACCATTTATAACTCATTCAACTCCAACCACAACGTGCTGCCAACAAAATTAATTTTTTTTGAAAAGTATCTCTCGCTCGTACTCCGCCCACTTTTTTCATTATATTTAACAAATAAATTGGCATCATCCAACATTTTATTCACTCTTCTTTCCACTGCCCTTCATCTCTCCTTTGCTCTTCCCCATTTCTCTATCTCTCGGTGGAACGGGCAAGTACTTCTCTTTCCCACATAAAATATCCATAACATTAACCACAATTACCATGAAATTTAATACCAAAATTGCAGCAAAAAGAAGATTGCGCCATCTCTCTCTCTCTCTCTCTCTCTCTCTCTCTCTCTTTCTCTGTTGCTTTTTCACTCTCCTCTTCCTCTCCTGTCCTGTCACTTCTGTTGTCCAAAAACGCCCACAAAGCCGAAATTAAAAAATGGTTTAAAAAGTATTTTTCTATTAATTTTTCCAAGCTGTCCTTTTTGCTGCTGCTGCCGCCAGAGCGGCGTTGGCGTTGGCAACATGTGTTGCATGTGGCAATTAAATGCCAGCAGCAACAGCAACGTTGAAAATAAAAAAGAAGAAAGCCCCAAATGAAATGGCAAAAGTAAAATAAGAAATAAAAAGCACGAAGGAAAGGCTTGGACCAGGAGGGGTTGATGTTTTAGGATACCCTGGAGTGTAGGTAGGTTCATGTATGGATATAAATTTGAATATTATTTAATGCCATTTGAAGTTATAACATCAAAGATAAAATCGCTGAATCTAATAATTTGTCCAACAATTATTTTCTGATCATCGTTTCGTTCATTCGAGGTGTAAAATGGAAGAAGATGTAGAATTTGATATGTTCCCATTAAGAAACTCTTTTTTTGAGGCATTTGCAAAATCATCATTCCCCTTTTCTGTAGCATAAAGCGGTTAACACACTCCCTGTCTAGCGAGAGAGTGGGAGAGAGAGAGAGAGAGAGAGTCTGTAATAATTTTTGGCGCTGGGTCTTGAAGAGCAAATAAAATGCAACTTTTTAGTGACTCAGTTGGTGGCAGCAACAGCAACAACCACACAGCAGTGGCAACATGCAACAAGAGTCGGCAGTAGGGAATTTTTTTTTGAGTTTGGTTGAGTGCGAAAATAATACGAACAAAACGGTGCCTGGCTGTAACGAGAGGCTAGAGGATGAGTGGGGCACATGGCGGAGTGTTGCTGAGTGGGGGGAACCGTTGCGGCATAGAAAACCAAATGAATGACATGCCACAGCGTCGTCGTCGTCGTCGTCGTCGTAGCTGCAGCTATGCCTTTGTCTGGTGTGTGGCAGACGACTTGTGGTCCACTCCTGCTTCTCTCGTCTGCGGGTGCGGGTGCGTCTGCGTCTGTGGCACTGGCTTCAATTAATTTCCAGCTTCGGTTATTGTTTGCGGGTGTTAATGGTTTCCCCCGCAAACTCCTTGTTATCAATGGACTGGGTACAGATACAGATGAGGGCAGATGATGCAGAAAAGGAGGCATCTGGCTGTTGCTGCTGTTGACATTGGCGGAAGATTGCTGCAGGTATTTTATTTCCTCTAATGAGGGTCATCTATTGGGGCTATACATGCTGCAGCTTCTTGGAACCAAAACAATTATTCTGTATTCTTGTGATCTTCTTTCTGGAGGGACTTCGTATTCGAAGGTTA